TCCAAAGCAAATTGTATAAGCATTCACAGTAAAGTATATAGCAGAATTAGATAGTAACTTACCAAATTACCCTTGTCTAGGAAATTATAAACAAAAGGACACAATAGGAATTAGAGGGGAAAAAAATCATGAAATGCACAATTTCCAAAGCAAATTGTATAAGCATTCACAACAAAGTATATAGCAGAAGGGAAAATACATAAAAACCACCTTGAACTTGGCACGAAAACTTACTTTAGTACTTAAACTACACGGGTGTTTATATAACCCCCTTAACATATTTGATGTGAATTATTTTCAACCCTCCGAACATCAGCCCAGTTGAAGGCTGGGCATTGTTACACACACGCATTTTCATTGGTCCATGTTGCTAAGGGTTTAAAAAATATCTTACCCATTTTATATAATTCACCCGTTCCCAAAATACAACCCGACCCATTTCTAAACAAATATCCCTAAATCTCTAAGCCCGATTCTCATTCTCTCAAATCTACAAGCCCTAATCTCAAGATTTTTCTTTCGTTAGCGTGAAGTAATTGATCGCATTGTGTGCTACAATTTTGTTCAAGAAGTAACGACAATCTTAGAAAAACTGAATAAACAATCTAGAAAAAACTGAAAAGTGAGGAAACAAAAATCAAAATAATAGATGAAGAAGAATAAGTTTGAATCTTACATTTTGAAGAACAATAATTCCTTCAAAGATTCAACTTTTAGGTTTGAAGAGCTAAGATTTGAGAAAAATCAAGAAAAATATAATAAATTAGGTCACCATTTTTGGATGATTGGAGAAGAGGTAATTAGGATTCTTAATAAGTGAAGATTGTTCTTCAAATGGGTAATGGGTCGGATATTACCGTTGGAGGAGCAAATTTAATTTTTTTTAAATGTTAAAAGATGACTAACACGCCATTCTAAGCTGTAACAACACGTGCACAAGGCTTTCGAAGGGTTGAAAATAATTCACATAAAAGATGTTAAAGGGGTATATAAACACCCGTGTAGTTTAAGTACTAAAGTAAGTTCTCGTGCCAAATTCAGAATTTTTTTTTAATGTATTTTCCCATAGCATAATTAGATAGTAACTTACCAACCTGCTTCCTAGACTCTTCTATATATTAGTAATAATTAGTAATATATTAGTTAAAAAGAAACGGAAGTGGGGAGGGACGGAAGGGGGGGGGGGAGTATATTAAATGGTATAGATTTGTATTATATTGGTGGACATTTTTTTGTAACTATATTAAATAACTTATATCAAATATAATCAAATTTTATTCCTATTATAAACCATCACACTCAAAGCACTGTTCTATAGTTTTAATTTTTTTTAAAAAGTATATTAAATAATGTACTTTGTAGATTAAGTTTGGTGTACAATTAATTTTATTTATAATGAATAACTTACACCAACAAATAATTAAATTGCACATGAGTAAAAATCATGATTATAACTATTAATTTTTGTTATATATTTCAACTATATGTTGCCTTACACCATAATATTATCAACTATCTATCAATATTTATCATCGAATTAATAAATAATCATACCAACATATATGAAAAAATCACTACTATTAGTAAAAAATTCATTCATAAAAAAATAAAATTAATTACAAAGTATTGTATCTATTTGGTAAACGTCTTTTTGGTGTTTGTGTCATGTATCACTCCTTCAATCTTGAAATTCACATATATTTCTGCGATAAATTTTGATAAATAGTTAGACACATACTAACCTACAACAATGTATAACACCATAACACAACCACTTATTTATAATTTTTTAAATTACAAATTAATTATAAATGGTCTATAATATGGTGATGTTTTGGTGTACAGTATGGTGACTCTTTGGTGTATAATATGGTGATGTTTTGGTGTACAATTCAATCTAATATATAATATGTGACGCACACCAATATATACACCACAAACTCATCAATAAATTACCATTTCTTTTAAGTATAATCAACTTAATTAAAAAAATGTGCACATGATAGTTTAACATTGCCATGTACAGTACACTATAATACGAAATACATAAACTAAACCAAGATATACACCATAATTTAACCAAGAATTTTTCAATCATTTTATATAATCAAATTAATTAAAATTTGTGTGCCAAACAACATAAGAAACATTCATTCAAGCAATATTTTTCATAGTTAACACATCTATTTATATAAAAAAATCAAGCAACAAAAACAACAACAAAAACTAAAAACAATAATCATTTTATATAATCAAATTAATTAAAATTTGTGTGCCAAACAACATAAGAAACATTCATTCAAGCAATATTTTTCATAGTTAACACATCTATTTATATAAAAAAATCAAGCAACAAAAACAACAACAAAAACTAAAAACAATAAAAAATGAACTATATATTTTAGCAATCAAACTAAAAAAATAATAATTAAAAAACTGATACATACTTATTACACCCTATATTCCAGATCCCATTCAAAAAATTAAATCGATAAACCAATAAATATACTTTAAAACAATCCAAACTTATATTTGTGTATTATACTGGTATAATTAATGATAAAGAATGCTAAAATTAATTTACTTATTTAATTGCTATGCAGAATTGGTATAAATTTTGGTATTACTTACAATTATTATGGTGTATATTAGGGTTAAAAAATTGTGTACACTTCAAAAGGATATACATCATCATTTGCACCACAAACTAAATAAACAGACTAACCACGGTCATATAACAAAAATTTATAAAATATTATTTTATATTTATTGATAGTTTTGTTTTCGGTAGATACACAATAAATAACACTGCTTAGCAGAATAACCCGATAAATAACATAAAAGTTCAACAAAAATACACCATAATGATTTGGTGTATACGCCATAAACTAAAAATCATATGCATTCAAAATATATCGACTACACCAATACGTAAAGGACTAATTAACCAATAATTTAACCGTAGGCGAGTACCTACGTATGGTGCAAAGCAATTGAGAACAATATAGCTTATATTTTACAGATCCCATCCAAAAAAATACCAATCAATAAAGCTACAACAATATATATTTATAAAAAATATTAAATCAATAAAACAAATAAATATACTTTAAAACAATCATAATCGAAGCAATTACTATGGTGAATATCTGTTTCATTCCATCTCCCGTTGTACTGAATTAAAATTAAAAAAATATTCATATTTTTCATTGAACTCACTTTCAGAATAGTGAAGGTATAGACTATAGAGTTTGATTTTGATTAGAATTATGAGAGAGAAACAGTAACTATATTAGAGATATTTATGGAAGGTAAATAAAGAGGAGGAGAAAATTAAGGAAGTAAAAAATAAATTGTGAGCTGTCATGCTTTAATTTCTGATTATTTTGTTTTTCTTTTTACTATTTATTGTATTGTTTTGATTTAAAAAAAATATTTTCATTGTTTTGTAAAAAAAAACTATTGTTATATAGCTGTTATTTAGGTGCTAGTTAAGTTTTTTTCCCATATAAAAAAGGTGTTTTAAAATAGTTTGAGACAAAAATCAGAAAAGATTCTAAAAAGGACAGGTGGATAGATTTCACCTGATTCTTGTTGAAGTCACTTCATTTCAATTTACTGTTACACTTTGCGTCGGTGTTTTATCTTTTTCTACAATGCCTGATGTTGATGTTGATACCTCATCTGCCCCTACACACTTTGGGACTGTCAATCATCTTTAATATATATAAATGGACCATTCCTTTTATTTTAACTTACTAGGCGTTTAATTAAACATTTTCATTTTCTTTCAATTTTATAGAATTGAAATGGAGAATAAATGTGTGTTTGATTATATTTTTTTATTGAAAAATGTTCAGTATGGAATGTATTGTCGGTCGATTCAAAAGCTTTATTAATGAATGAATTTCTCTATATTTTCTTTTTTGCTTTAATGTTCTTAAAATATGACTTTAAAAAGTAAAATTAGTTAAAAATATATTATAAGTTGTTTTTTAAGGTTGAAATACAATATCAAGTTGAATTTGAAATTTTCGTGACTATATAGTAACTTTTAAATTAAATAAAGAATTATTCCGTATAATTTTTATGATCTAAAGGATCTTAAATCTCTTGTGTAATTCTTTTTTCTTAATTTTACTATTTCTTTTGTTTTAATTTATGTGACAGAAGGATGGAGTAGTATTTTCATAGTTTTAAACGTTTCTACTTTTATGCAATTCTTTTCTGGGGGTGGGGGGATACATGCCTCTTTAAGTTGTTCCTAAAAATGGGTTGCACAGTTAATTTTTTTTTTACGTCTTTTTATCCCTTATTCTGCGGCGACGATATGTAGGGGAGGTGCTGCGGAAAAAATAGCTGATCCCAGGATGATAAAAAGCCTAACACCTCTCGTTCTTATATTACCTTTTTCAATATGAAAATGAAAAATTAAATGGTCGTTTTATTCAAAACCTCAATAGTGACATTCCTTCTCTCCCACTTTACACCTCGGAACGCACCCTTCTTACAGAGCTTTCACATCTTCTTGTTCGAAGCAGCACAAAACATTCCTGAAATGCAGTGTTCAGATTTTTCTAGACAAGTTTATGGGGGTAAATTATGTATATTTCCCCTCTTTTTTTTGATAGCATTATCTACATGATGTATGTTTTCTCTTTTTTCATTTTGTTCGTGTGTGAACTTAATCTCACATTGAACCGCGGTAATAGAAATAAACAGATCACATGATACTCGTAATGATTTAGAACTTTTCAATTAAAGTTAAAGCTATCACATCATGTCGAAGTGCTAAAAGAAAAGGTCTGAAAAACATGGCGGCCTAGGAACCACAGGACCCCTACTAGTAAAGGGAATGGTAGTGTGCACCCTCCCACCAACTGAAAAGACCTTTAGGGGGGACCATGTGAAGTTAACTTTGAACGGACAATATCACACCATGTTTACGTAATATAGTGTGACCTGAGTGAACTATTACGTAAAAGTTGTTACGTAACAAATGATGCCAATCATGGAAGAACCATATGGCTTGTTTCACCATTTGTTTTTTACCATAGAACTTTTATTCTAACATCCACTAACAGAAAACATTACCAACAGAGCTAACAACATCTTAATATCTCATTATCCCAGTAAGGGACATCCAACAAAGGTAGCAAATACACATAATAAGCTGAATAGGGAAGCACAACATATGAAATGACAAGCTGCAGAGGAGAAGGTTCTATTGTATCCAGTCGCATCTTGAAACATGACAGTTGATCTATTCTTTCTGGTAAAAGGAACGGAAGGCAAGGGCTGCAACCAATATCAACAAAGGTAACAAGAATTGCAATATCTTCCATGAGTTTCCAGAACCCTGTACTCCAGCTGATGGTGTCGTTGAGGAAGGCAGGGTATGTTTGCGTTCTGCAGGAATGGTGGAACTGTCAATTTCACCAATGAAGTATTTCTTCAACATCTCTCTTGCATCATCACTGTGACCGACATCTTCAAAATCATCTGTTGCATCCTTACCTATATATCACACAAATTTACATGTATCATATCTAAGTTCAGTTCACGATAAGCAATCTAATACCAAGATTTTAGGCTTACCTGTTGCAGTTAGCAAGACTTCATCTCCTCCAGGATGATCATCCAAAAATGAGGTTACATCATAAACCTAACATAGAGTTGTCAAACATGGAATTCAGAGACAATATGATGTAAAGTAAATGATAGCAATAGTAAACAACGATTAGAACACCACCACTAATAATGCCTCTAGCGAAAAGGTTTTGATTTATGCCTGATGAGAACAATATTTTTTACTAAAGAGAGTATGTCAAACACCAAAAATGATGACAAACTTGTATTATTACAGATTCAGGTGCTCTCATGTATTTGTTCATCTAGATTTTGTTTACCTTATTCAACAACTAGAAATCTTAGAGAACATCAAACCATTCTACAATGCATCATAGCCAGTTAACACTAAAATTGGAACAAAATTGAAACCTCAGCAAAACAGTTCCAAGTTATAACATTCTGGTCAAAATTGAAACCTCAGCAACATCAGAGACAGTTCTCTGTCAAGAAGAAAAACTTCTCTCCATGTATTGTATATAGACATGTACCCATTACATGGTGAGGAATGTTCTTGTAACTCAAATCTGATCAAGGGTAATAGTTACAATTGTAAGAGAAAGTTGAAACCAGGGAATGCAGGTGTCAGAATGAAATGAAAAGAGATAATGAATAAATTGGTCTAGCTGGAAATCAATGGTGATTTAGAAGTTATTGATACCAACAGATAATTGGGAAGAAGTACGATCACAGAGCAGGTCAAGACTGACCATTTACCTGTGATATCATAAAGGCTAGTGGTAAAGAACAGCAATAAAAAGAGTTTCATCTACCTCGTAAACATTGTCCTGTGTCCAGTTGAAAGACCATTATATATGCTGGTGCATAATTATTCTTCTAGGAACAAGTTAGAAGTCGCTCATTTCTTAGCACTCCCAAATATCATAGAAGAAATAAAACCAAATTGCATTACCTTCCCCTAACAGACTTTATCTCAGTTAATTGTTGAAAACCAAATCTAAAATATTTCTCAGATTTCCTCTATTCTTTACTGTATACTTTTTTAAACACAGATTTGCAGGAGTCTCGCAAAACTATCTTTTCTGTTGGACAAACATTCAAATTTATCAATTTAGTTTAAATTTTTTTGTAACATTTTCAATTGTAATACTTTGTTAGTTTCTTTATTTTTTTCTAGCATCCTTCCCCTAATGTAACACAATAATACCCCTAACACTCGAGGTACCTCTTATCCCAATTTATTCTCAGGAAGACATGCTTTTTTATCTTTGATTCTTTTATACCTGGGATTTGCTTTGACCACTTCACTTTTAAGTTCCTTCTTTTTCCCGACAAGGTAAGGTAAACAGTAAACTTCTAAGTTCATTGTCACTTTGATATTCAAACCAATGCCAAAAAGTACTTAGAATTTAAGACCAGTATTTAACACACTACATTATTCTCTCCCTTCGTCTTTCCTTTTTCTTTTTTTTTCTCTTTTTGGTTTTCCAGCTATCTCCTTAGTGCTCTTAACTCTAAAAATTCTAATTCACCTTACTTCAGTATATTCATATTTTTCTTCTCTTAATTCTAATCCTATGAGCCCTTGAGTCATGGGATGACATGCAATGGAAGGAGGAGGAAAAATGTCCCTTAGTTGTTTTGATAAGATGAAAACGAATAGTTATTTATCCTAATGTTGATTTTACTTTAATATTTTAATTATTGTTGTTACCTTCACCTCATCACTCAATTTTATGGACTTATCACGTCCCAAATCCCAATCCATCTCATTGCAATTAATACCTTTTGATGCTAACCAATATAAAATGGTTGCTTCATTTCCTTTAGTTATTATTTTCGGAGTTGTATCATGCACTATACCCCCTTTGCTTTTCATTCTCCCTCTCGCTTTTCACCCTTCTCTATCTTCAATGTTCTATTCCTTTCTCCCTTCTGTTACTACTTTTTCTTATCCCCCTACCTGATACTTGTCATTCTTCCTTGACAAATAAATGCTAACGAAGGGGTAAAAGGGTTTCTTTCTTCTATATTTGGCCGTCAAATGGCAACTTCCATATGGTTTTTTCCGGTGAATTACGAGTAGAGATTTGGGGAGAGTGGATAGGACAGAGCTGTGGATGTCCATCCCGTGCTTTTGAACGATTTTTCCTGCAAATGGACGATCTTTTTCTTTCCATACTTAGAAATGTGATCAAAGGTGCTTGCACTCATCAAAGAACTTTCTAAAGACTAACTTTAGCATAAGAAAAGAAAGCATACATTGACAAACTATTTGACACAGGATGACCTAGCTGATTGATGTCATAAGCAATCTTCCTGGTCTAAGAGGAGTCTGAACTGGAAGTTTAGTTGAATGATCAAAAACATGTCGAAAAAGAAAAGTATTTGGTTTTATAGTCTATAGCTTCAAAAAATATCGGGCGATTTAATTGAACCAAACCTTACTTAGAAAACGTCCAGTGCATCTTTCTTACTTACACATCTTAATTTCGTTTCTTAGTTCTGCTTAACTTATTTCTATTTACTGCATTTATTAAATTTTCAGTTTCCCGTTTCACTACATAAGTCTCCCAACTCTATAAAGTGAAAATTGGAGCTTATATTATTGGATATAAACCATATTTATTATGAGAAGTCTTCAGATGAGCAATCCTATTACTGAATTTTCAACTTTTATTTTTTTGATCAAGTAAAGGTAAACATCACACTCAGCATCCAGAAGATGCAAAGGATTACAAAAACAAAAATAGATCCTGTACATTGCCAAATTACTCCTAACAAAGTTTCAAGAGCTATTAAATCCAAAAAAGTTTCACTACTATTTACATTACAGACCCTACTCCAAGCAAAAAAGATTCATCAACACTCTAGCCTTTGGGAAGTGATTATGAGTTGAAATCCCTTCTAAACTGCGCTGTTTACTTTCTTCCCAAATGCACCAGATGATCACTGCTAGAACCATCTTGCACATTTGTATGATGAACTTTCTGATACTTAAGTCTTTTGATCTTGAAAGTGACAAGCTAAGTTTCAAGAATTATTTTGTATTTCTAGAAAAGAGATAATTTTTATAAACAATTACTTGAGTAATGGCAAAGTGAACAATATTATACAAGTATTTCTTTACTAGACATATGTATAGTATGGTCGTGCAAAATTAAGTTCTAAATTTTCTTTAACAACATATGCTTATGGGTATTTCATTTTGATAACCTATAAATCCTGTTGTTTCTACTCTTGAAACTCAAAAGGGGCAATGGATCTGCCCTTTTAGCTTTCTCCACTAAATTACATACTTGATTTAACAGTTGGGATTCGAACTCATAACATATGTTAGCCACATGCCTTCTCCCGCACGTGCCCCCTCCCTCATCCCTACCTCCTTATACTATCTTTGCTATGGAATTGGGAGCCATGAATTTTGGTGGGCATTTGTTTGCATCCTAATGATATTTTCTCAACTATACAACAACTTGTACTAAAGATGGAATATTACAACTTAAATGGTTTAATATCTTTCTAGTCCATTTTCTTCTCACTTTTTGCAAACAACATCAATGTTTTCTTCCAATCCTCATCTAAACAGCATGTAATATCTAACGGAATCTACAATTTATGTTTCCATGGAGGGTTTTTGGTGGTGGGGGGTGCATTTTACCCTGTTCTTCATTCGACTTGTATTTTAAATGTTATTTTCTTATGCCATAAAGCATATTTTTCCAAATTCCTTCAATAGTCTTTGGAATGATTAATACTACTTTCCTGGGATTAAATGTTCCCTTGTACTACAATAGGATGAGGATGATGACTCCTCATCCCATCTCCTGCGCCAAACCAAATATGATCTAAAGATTGCAAGCTTTGTTTAGTAATCATTTAGATAATCTACTAACCAATTCCAGGATACGTAATCCAGTGAGAGTAAAATGCTAAAAAAGATCGATAACACGTGTTATAAATTGTGACACCACGGATTATAAAAAATTAGGAGGAAATGGTAATCGTTGTTAAACCAGAATAAGAATAAAGTTGTAGAAGAGAATTGGTGATAGGCTACCTCCAAGACTGGTAAGGGGAAATTAGACAATCAAAAACATTAATGCATATATTCCACAAATAGAATTAGATGAGGAAACTAAACCTAGACTTAAAAATAATATGGCCACCTTGATGAAAGGGCTTTCAAATTACCAACAATATATTTAGGAAGATTGATTGGACATGTCGGTAGATACAGTGATGATTTCGACAGACTACATTGCAATATAGTTATGGTACAAGAAATGAATAAGAGAATGCTATGACGAAAAGCATCTCATATGACCTTTAGTCTCTAAGAATTAAGGTGGACTTAGCTAACAACAAAACACATTTAACACGAAGTATCTATATACACAATACTAACTAGTTACAACTGATACTTTAGCAGCTGTTGTTATACTCGCCAGTGGCGGTTCACAGAACCCATAAACTTTGCTTAAACATTGTATATGTTTTAAGAAATCCACTAAATATCTGAAAATGAACCCAGTTACTGTTATGCATGAACTTAAGGACGTTGTAGCAACCCATAAACTTCAAATCCTGGATCCCACTAACCGATATTCGTCAAGAGTCTTTTCCATCCCAATTCCCACTGACCGATATTTGCTAAGAATCCTGGATCCCACTGACCGACATTTTTAGTCCTTTTCTATTTTTTTAGAAAAACATCATTTTAGACGAACAACAATTTACCTCAAAAGAAAAATTAACATAATAGCACAGAATGAATACAGAGAGATTCATATATCCAACCCAAACTAGTTTGAGATTGAAACCTAGTTGTAATTGATTGATTAATCTACTTATGAACATCAATTCCCCAAAATTTTAACCAAGAAGGCGTAGCATCCTTCTAACTGGGAAGCTATAAAAACTCCCAACAACAACAAAAAATTAGTAGTAAAATTTATCAAAACCAGAAAACGGAACTCGTATCAGAGAAGCAGCAAATCGAGAATAAAATGATAATTGTAGATACTAATAAGCTTACCTTTCCAGAGATGAGAAGCCAGCAATCATCTTTGTTGTTGTGCTCCAACAAGTCACTAAAAGCATGAAGTTTGGTCATCTTCACAGATCACTGCTTACAATCTATCAAAATTCAAATGGGAACACAAAAATTAAACCCAGAAATTAAAATCAAACTTATAGAATGCAGAAATTGAGGTTACCTCTGAACTTCCGCCGAACGCACGCCACAAGTCAAAGTTGTTTGGTATACACTTTTGTCTATACATATACTACCAAATTGGGATTACCAATGCCCGATCCCCTTGTAATACGATGTATTATTATTTTATCCCTTTTACACGTACCAAGCTTTTATTTAAATGTTATTTCTCCGTTTATTTTTATTTGTTCATTATATTATAAATAAATTTTATTTTATTTATTAAATAGTTTGGTATTCGATATTTGATATGGTATTCAAAATTTTAGAATTATGACCATTCGAGTTTGGATTTGGTATGGGATATTAGTACCATTTGGTATTCGTTATTTCTGAAATACCAAATTATTTACTTAATGAAGGTCATATATATGGATTCAATTATTATTATTATATTCAACGGTAATTTCTCTCTCTAAAAAATTCTCTCTGACTTCTCTCTAACATTTTTTGATTCCGATGAACCCAACCGGGCAAAATCCGGCAGTCCCGCCAGATCCTCCGCCCATCCCAACTAGCAAAATCACGGCCAATAAAGATTTGGAGGATTTAAACCTCAATTCTGCCCTCAAGCAGAAAACTCCTCAAGGAAACCCAGATGAAAATCAATATAAAGAGCTTATCAATCTTGCCCTTAATAACCCAGATTTCTTGCAAGCTCTTCAATCAGCTTTGGTCAAGGTAAACAACACTGCAGAGGATGCAAAAAAAAGAAAAGGAGACGATCAATTCAAGGTCTCTACTAACTACGACCGACCCGTCAAAAACTACAATAAAGGAAATGCCTCTAACAAAATCGACAATCACGATCCTAATCCAAAGCCAAATTCTACTCAGAAAAATATTGATTCAGACGAGCCAGCAACTGAGGATCATATCAATCAAAATCTGAATCAACAAATTTTGATATCAAATGCGATGAATAATGCTACTGGAGGTCAAAGATCGAAACCCAGCGGACCCTCAAAGCCCACGTTCGCAGCAGCCGTTCAATCTAGGCTCACATCCTCTAGTGCTGGAAAAACTCATGTAGACATTAAACATGGAACACATTTGGGCAAACCTGCAGTTTATTTCTCAGCCGAAGACTACTTCGGCAGCCTAGCTCAAGATTGCAAATGGACCATTGTGGGGAAGTTCATTAAAGGAAAGCCAACTATGGAGGAACTAAGGAAACTTTTCATTGGGCAATTTCAACTGTTAGGTACTGTCAAAATTGCTTTCTATGACTACAGATGTGTTTACATGGACTTTACTAATGAAGTAGATTTCAAGCATATCTACTTTAAGCCTTTTATTGATATTGGTCCATACACTATGAAAGTCATGAAATGGACACCTGATTTTAAACCTGAGCAAGAAACATCTACTGTCCCCATATGGATTTTAATCCATAAACTTCCTTGGCACTTGTTTAGATGGGATATTCTATCTAAATTGGTACAATCTATTGGTATAGCAGTTGCTCCAGATCAAGCCACTTTTTCCAAATCTAGGGGAAATGTAGCCAAAATCAAAGTGGAGATTGACCTCCTAAGACCAAAACAAGAGGAAATTTGGCTTGGATATAAAAGACCGGATGGGTCTGAAGATGGAGAATGGCTGAAAATTGAATATGAAGATGCTCCTAGTTACTGCGCTTATTGCAGACTTCAGGGACACACAGAAATGGAATGCAGAACCAAGATAAATCGTGAAAATGAAAAAAGATTGAGAGAAGAGCAAATGAAAAATATAAAGACTACTACACCTCAATCTCAAGAAACTGAAGATGGCTTTCAGGAAGTTAGCAGAAAGAAAGGAAAACAAAACAGGAAAAATGTTGGGGTGGTCATCAGTGAACCCAATGCTCATGATCAAAAGAAAAAAACTTTGCCTCTTGTAGAAGGGAAAGGAAAAAACGCCACAAATGAGACAACAAACAATGTTGTAATAGGGGAGCAACAACAAAGAACGGAAAAAGGTGAAACAAGTAGACTCCAAGAAGAAAAGCAAGACCAAAATGAAGGGGAGAAGATTTTGGATGAAGAAACTCATATCTCTGGCAATAAACACAAGACGCAAAAGGATGATAGTTCAAAAAAGAATGAACATAAGAGCAATAAGAATGACAACAAAAAGGTTAATTGGGAAGATCAAACCAATACACGACAGAAAAATACTACCGAAATAAAAAAGCCTCAAAAGCACCCGGTTGATCAGATGCAAGCCAGCTCCACTACTGACCAAATTCTGTCCAAACAAAAAAAGACCTCTGTCCTACCAGAAATCAAACCCAAGAACCAAATCACTAGACACAACCAACAAAACCCACATCCAAATCAAACTACAACCAAATCCACTGACAAATCCAAAATAATACGCAAAGCCCACGACAACAAAAAAATCACAACCAAAGCTATAGACACCCACGAGCATCAATCCTCTGAGGAAGAGGAAGAAACAGAAGAAGATACCGAAACAGAAAATGAGAAAATTCGAGAGAGCAGTGATGATAGTTATGAAAGTGTGGAGGATAATGATGATGCTTCAACAAGTGATGAAGAAGTCGAGAATCAATTTCATACTTTTAGTACTATCCAACAGGAACCAGAAGTCGCTAAAGCTTTTGAGGATTTATCAGGGAAAATGAATCTCTCACCTAGAGGTTCGCAAAACACTAGAGGTGGCAATTTCAATAGAGGAGGCAGAGGAGGTAGAATTAGAAAACCTGTGAAAAAACACAGGACCAAAGCTCAACTTCCAATCAATTTTGATGATTAAGTCCATCTTTTGGAATGTGAGAGGCATCAACAGTCAAGGTGCCTTTGATAGACTTAATCAAATTAAAAGACTTCACAATCTTGCTTTCATTGCTATTATGGAACCTTTTAGCAAAAGGACCAAACTTGACAAATTCAAAAGGCGATTAGGTTACAACTTCGCTTACTCAAATTGTAACAATAAGATTTGGATTTTTTGTGATCAGCTTTATGATTGTGTCATTATTCAAGATAAAGAGCAGCAAGTCACCTGTAGCATCACTACTCATGAGGAAACCATTCTATTGACTGTCATATATGCAAAATGCAAGGATCATTTAAGGGAGCCACTTTGGAATGATTTGAGATACATTGCTAATAACATGAATCTTCCTTGGCTGGTCGCAGGAGATTTTAATGCTATTTTGGCTCCAGAGGAGAAACAAGGGGGTAACTCTCATAGAATGTATAAAAGTATACCTTTTATAAATTGTATGATGGATTGCTCCTTGATAGATATTGGATTCCTTGGTTCTATCTATACTTGGTGTAATGGTCGAGGAAAAGGAAAAAGAATTTGGAAAAGACTTGATAGAGTATTAATAAATACTGAATGGTCACTCAAGTATGTTGATACCACAGTCACCCATCTTATCAGGACTGGATCTGATCACTGCCCTCTCTTGATTTCTATATCCTCTTCTCATCAAACTCATCAGAAATATTTTAGATTCTTGGATCTATGGACTCAAGAACCTGGTTTTAATGAAACAGTGAAGGCTGCCTGGAATGAAGATACTGGTGGATCACCCATGTGGAATTTCCACTTGAAATTGAAAAACACATGCAGAAAGCTATCTCAGTGGTCGAGAAACAGTGTTGGTAACATTTTTGATAACACTAAAGCTATGGAAAAAAAGGTTGCGGATTTAGAAGAAATTTGCTTGACCAACAATTCTGATAGCAACAGAATGGCTTACAACTGCGCAAATGCTGAACTTATTATGCATATCAAGAAGGAAGAAGCTTTTTGGAAACAAAAGGCTGGTATGAAATGGTTTCAAGATGGTGACTCTAATACCAAATTTTTTCATACCATCATGAACAATAAGAGAAGAAGATTAGTCCTCAAAAAGATCAAAAAGGATGATAACACATGGATTGAAGGAAGTGATGAAATTGCTAAGGAAGCAATAAATTTCTTTGAATCCCAATTCAGTAAGGACGATTCTCACAAAGATTTCAGTATTCTAAATTGTCTACCATGTGTGATAAATGAAGAAGACAATAATATACTGGATGCCTTACCTACTATGACTGAGTTGAAAGAGGCAGTATTCTCACTAAGTGCGGACAGTGCTCCTGGACCAGATGGTTTAACAGGAACATTTTATCAAAAATGTTGGGATATTATCTCGATTGATTTATTTAACATGGTTTGTGATTTTTTTGCAGGTACTCCACTTCCAAGATCTTTCACTCATTCATGTCTTATCCTTATTCCAAAGACTCCAAACCCTCAAAGATTTACAGATTTGAGACCAATAAGTCTAAGCAATTTTAGCTCTAAGATCATATCCAAAATGCTGAACACAAGACTATCTAAAGTCATTCATAAAGTGGTCTCACCGAACCAAACAGGATTCATGAGGGATAGATCTATCACTGATAACATCATGCTCACTCAAGAGCTAGTTCACAACATTAAGAATCCAAATGTTAATGGTAATGTTATCATTAAACTTGACATGACTAAAGCATTTGACAGAGTTGATTGGATTTTCTTATGTCAAGTTCTCAGGCAGTTTGGATTTTCTGAATACTGGATTGATATGATATGGAGGCTTCTTGCAAACAATTGGTACTCTATCAATATAAATGGAAGCAGACATGGTTTCTTCAAATCGGGAAGAGGAATTAAACAAGGAGATCCTTTGTCACCCTCTCTATTTATTATTGGAGCTGAACTTTTGACCAAACTTATGGAGCAACTCATAAGTGAAAGCTTCATTCCCTACTCAGTCGATAAAGGATGTCCCTCTTTTACTCACCTCAGCTATGCAGATGACACTATTCTTTTCTCTTCTGGGGATCCTCTGTCTTTAATGGCTATGATGAATAAGCTTTCTGTTTACGAGAAATGTTCTGGACAACTCGTCAACAAAGACAAGTCTTGTTTTCTAGTAGCTCCAAATACTCATGAGTCCTTGACAGATGACATTAAGAGAATAACTGGTTTCTCTCAATCTAGCTTTCCTTTCACGTATTTGGGATGTCCCATTTATTTTGGTAGACAAAGAGTCAAGTATTTTGATGGTCTTATCTCTAAAATTACTGGTAGATTGCAAGGTTGGCAAGGCAAGATGAT